AGAGAGAGAGAAAGAGAGAGACCTCAATTTGTTATTGAAACTCACTGTGAGCCCAGGAGGTGTTTGTGAAGAAAACTAAATCTGGACTCTGACAGCGAGGACATGGGAGTCACGTATGGAAAGAAGGTAAGTTTGTAATTTTTTATTCTTACTTTACTTTGGTATCAGTCCTCGTCATGTGAAAAATACTTTCTTGGCATGCACTGTGTATTTAAGGAGATTAAAGATAATGAAAAACCCAGTCTTACTTACACATGTCATAATAAAGGCTACACATCTTCATCACATTTAAGCTTTTATTTTGCAGAACTTTATAGCTTTTATTTCCCACAGACAGTGAGTGCTTGCACCAAACACAGGTCTTTATCCAATAATAAAGAACCTTGCCAACGCTGGAGAGTCGGCCTTGGAGAGTGTTTATCCCGTCATGTCCTATTAATTCTTCTCCACACAATACCCACTGTCGGAGATTCAGCCAAACAGCATGACTCTACTCCCATCAACCAAACAGCAGCCAGCAGCAGATTTGTCATTAAAATGCCTCATTTGGATTTCACTTTTTCCTCATTCTGAAAATTCGCTGGGATCCTGTTTTAACGACTTTATTTGAATATTGGCTGCAGGTTTTTTTTTAACACATTTAACAGTGCTTCTCTATATTGTTTGTGTGTGTAGAAGCCAAGACGTGGTGCAGCTGAATTACAACTGACGCCAAAGGGAAATATTACATAACATGTACATTGCTTGATGATGAAGTAGACCGTGTTCAGAGCTAAAAGTATAGTCTGACACGTCAAATACTGATCAAGCATTTCAACAACAACAACAGAAAGAATCACTTTATTCAGCAGTCCAGTCTGAATACCACAGGGGCATAGCTCTTGTCTCGACCATTAATTCTGCTCAAATCCAGCAAATGAGTAACTCAGTGGGAATCAGACTGTGTTTTGTTTGATCCTGTCATTAATGAGGTGGCAGCGCTCCACCTCCCCAGTAAGGGCACTCGCTTCACTGGACATGTGGAACTAGGAGCTGACAGTTCATTTATCTGTCAGCATCATAATATAGCTTTGTGTTGCTCACAACGCCCCATTTGCATGAAACTGACTGGGAGATTTCTATCTATTTGGAGTGTTATCATGGGTCAGACCATGCATTTCCTGCACTGTTTTTTTTTTTACTTTCCACACTTCCTAATCCACTATTTTTTAGGTATAAGATTGTAATAACTAGATATGAGATATATTTTATTCTGTCTGACGTGTCATTGGCTTTTTCTGTTGACAGAGAGATCTGCAACATTTTCCAGGCAGAAGCAACACACACCTGAACGGGTCTGGTGAGAAATCTAAAAATAGCTGGTGTGATATTGCAGATTTTTTTCAGTGTCGACCAAGGAGGAATATTATTTTGACTGTAAAATTAGTATCTATATTTATTCATTTGATACCTCCCAGGAACCTCTTGCTGCCACTGGCATCCATAAAATTGATTATTATCATTCTTCTTATTATGTAAGCCTCTTCTGGCCTGTTTGTGTGACTAAGGGAAGAAACAGTGAAGAAGTAGCAGGAATATGGCTGGAGTCCTGTGAATCTGTGCTATAAAGCATAGGTGCTCACTCTATTGATTCTGGCCGTCATTAAACAGTAAAAGGGTGAGCCACAATTTGTAAAGTCAATGAACTGTAATGTTGCTATCAATAAACAATTTGCCTCGTGACATTTAACATTCAGGCTTGTAAAATGAGTTTTCAAGCGAAAAGTGTTTAACTTTAAAAGAAGAAATAGCACAGTCTTCCTTTTGCAAGTGAATAGACTAATCCATAAGCAACCAAACACTCCCTTGTTCATGTCAATAGCCTCAGGGGTTTTGTTGCTACAGCCTTAGCTTTTGGTGGCTAATGTTACTAATGTAAGCTTTTGACAGACATTGCTTTTCTTCTTGTGCTACTGTTAGCCTTAGCATTTGACATCCTGTTAGTGGACACGGTGGCTGCTGTGTGTGCGAATAGAGATTAGAATGAGCATTTACAGTTGAATATGCTGCAGGTTTGTAGACTTATTGATATTCAGCGTGGACATAAAGTTTTAAATTGGAAGGACAAAGTAAACTCTCTAGAAGTCTTATTATAAACAGACTGATAAGATAACAAGTGTATACCCTTTGTTCAGTGCTCTTTCAGTCTATTTTTTTTACAATCCCTTGACAAGTCTTACACAACCTCAAAAATAAGTTGATACTTATACACACAACCTGGATCATTTGTAGCTGAAACATAAGAAACTGCCTTAACATCATAATAGCACCTTTAATTTAATTACTTTTTCCTCCCTTTAAATAAATAATAGTTTCTCTTTGTATTTCTCGTAGTGCAAAGACTTCATGTTCAGATTTGTCACAATGCTTGATTTCTTACTAACCGTGTCCCTGTTACTGTAGTGTATGTAGTATACTGAAACCAGCTGTAATCATGAATGTTGCATTTGTAATTATGATGAATACTGTATCACAAAAAAAAACTGCACAAAAAAATCATCATGGTAGGAACATATATTCTGTAAGTTGGTATGTTTTCATTTTCAGCCTCAGTGATGCAGACACACCAAACTGAACAGCAAGAACGATACTCAGAGCTTCAGGCTCCGACAGTACAGAGTGAGGAGGACAGCCGAAATCTCATCAGACCCCAAAAACCTCTCAATCCTTTAACGACCTCCAAGAGCCACCAGGAGCTCCACAGAGAACTGCGGATGAGTCACAAGAGGTCACATACACACACACACACACACACACAGACTGCTGTAAACGCTCACACTTCAGTTTCATTTTACTTATAAATCATAAAGTACTTTTGTGTTTCTGTCAGGAGAGTGTCGCAAGAAGGAAAGAGTGAACTCCAGAGGGCTTTAGAAAAGAGAAAATGGGAACAAAGGATGAAAGCGAGCAGGGATCAGGAAGAGCAATCACCACTTCATCAAGAGCTGTTGAAAAGACAACAGAGGCTAGAAAAGGTTTGCATTGGATGTGCTTTATTTTTTCACATTTTTCACAAAAATACTTTACTGACAAATCATCACAGCGGTTGACAAATCAAATTTGTCTATTCTTAGAGCATGACTTATTGTATCATACACAAATGCACATTGTTTCCACACAGAAGATTGACATTGGTGGCATCTATGTGGAGCATCAAGTTATTCTGTAGTCAGCCAGTGGAGGGCAGTGTACACATTGTTATCGGCACAGCAGAAGACACTACCTGTATTAATGCCTTCTGAGAGCTCTAGTTATATAAACTAAAAGATAATTAATGATTCTGCTCTTTAAAATTATTTTGTGAGACCATTTTGTAAAATATCTTGTGAAAAAAGTGTACCGTGGCAACACATAGGAGCTCCATATTTGACTATGTTTTCAATTCTCCACAGTTGGATAGAGACAAAGGACAACAGCTAGAGGGGCCAGAGTTCCTCCGAGTCAAAGAGGGACTGAGAAGAACTGCAGTGGATTCAGGAGAAAAAGTGCGACAGTTCTGATTTGTGATTGTATGTTGTATGTTTCTTGTTGACAGTCGACACAATGGACTTTTAGGAATATCACCAGGGAATATAAAGTCACTATCTGTGTTTTTTATTCAAACGATTCCACTTGAATAACATCATTAAGTCTAGATGGCTGAGTTATTTTGTGTAAAATGGATGTGTCATATATACAGTAGTTGTGTTACTATTATGTAACATGTTTTTATGTGTCTGCAGTGGCTCTTGCTACTGTTTTCATAATACTGAACAAGATGCACATTTTTCTATGTTATAAGTTTATTAATGAGTTTTACTGCACGGTTTTACAATGTGTTTTTGGGTATTAAGTTTTCCTTTCATACGTCATTGTTTTATTCAGCCATCTTAGGTGTTAGCGTCATCAATATACTGGTCAACAATCCTTTGTCTGAGGTTCTAAGAGGGCACTAATAATGTGACTGATGTTGACACAGAGAATTATCGTCAATATAAGATTACTATTACACTAACTATTGTGTCCTTTGTATGCCCTTTAATAGTATTTACATTAAGGAGTCTTTAGCAACATGAAATTGATGTTTTCTCATGATAAATTAATGCATTTTCAGTGATGAAACATAGTATTATTATACATAATATTCATTTGATTATGAAAGATATGTTTTAACCGAGGAGAAGGCTTCTTTAATAAAAAATAATAGAACAAATAAATCTCATAAAATGCTAATTATAAGTAAACAAGTATTACAGAAGAATTAAGCTGATATTTATCTTTAAAACCTCTACAAACTGAAGAATCTATAGTGATGGCAACAAACACATTTATCATAAGTTTAGGTTGCTATGTGGGTTGCATCACATTGCGTGTGTTCATTGTTTTCAATGTATCTTTGAAATCTCTGGTTTTGCATATTGCTCACCACCTGTATCCATCTGTTCCTCAAACCACACTGAATAATAAAGTTACTCTATAATGACAGAACACGCAATGCATAGACAAGGAAGTTTTATTTCATTTCCTGCAATCATATCTCTGTGGGTACAAATCATTGTATTTTCTTACATCTTGTTCAATAACCCATGATGCATTGCATCCATACATTTGTAGCTCAAAACAGCTTTTACAAAAAAGGATATACAATATATACTTATATTTATATATATAATATACACGTGTTTCTTTATGCATTTAGATGTGTTTGTAATGGGTAAAACAAGCTTTAAAAAAAACACAGCCAAGTGGAAACAAATCCCAGGTAAGGTTCAACATAAGGTCATTACTAAACAAATAATAGCCAGGTTATCAAAGTCATCAACATTGGCTATCTTACAGTTAACATGAAGCCCTTCACACACAGTTTGCATATTTTCCACAATTACAGTCATGTAAATCCAGAGAGATTGCCTTGTTTTACTGTACTATGGACCTGAAAGTATTAATGACAGATTGAAGGAACCGGTTTTATATGGGCAACACATTTTTTTAATGGGTTGGTTGGCTATCACTACAGCTAACTAATAATGATACGGCATTATGTCATGACATACCTTAAATCAATAATGGTATGGTATGATCAATATCAGGATTAAAGTGTTTTCAGCCAGTTGTCAGAGGGAGAATTTTGTCTCATTTTTCTTTTCTATGTTAAATCTCTTCCCAAAAACATTGCCATCCTTTATCTGAGCTGTATATTTATAGAATAACAACATATCTGAATCTACAGTAAAACATCCCCACTTCACTGTATGGCTTTAGTACTGTAGTTCATCAGGAGGACAAATGTAGAGCTCGGGCTTCTCCCACGAGGTGATGTTTAAAGCCCCATTATTTTTTTTATCTTTTGTACTGTGGCTGGCACCTGTGTTAAATTAAGATATGTGTATTTCTTCTGCTTTGACAGGGATAAATAGCTTAAGAGATTTTACATAAGCAACAGCAAGAAAACAGACTGAAAAAAATAATATTTGAGTTGTAAATAATCATAGTACAGGAGAAATGTCACTCAGGTAGAGACTTGACCATCATAGTCAATGCAAATGATAAGTCCACTGTGCTGTGTTGCACTTTGTCAACAACATTACTTCTGGTGTTACTCACTTCACATTATATAGCTCAAAATTACAGTATTACATCATTTTTTCAATACAACAGAGTAATAATAATCATGTGTGTTTATACTAATTGATCATCATTCATGTAAACATATTTAACCAGGTCATGCAAACAGTAGACCAAAACTTCTTCCACTAGAGGTGCACAGCACAGAGCAGGCGGAGCGCCCAGACTGAGATCCCTCCGACTCAGCATAAGACCCAGAGACTGACAGCAGGCGGATATTTAGACGCTTGCCAGGAACAGAATGGGGAGGATGAGCGCGATAGGAACCTGATCGTTTTCTTCCCACGCACAGAGGATTCTCAACACCTTCAAAATAACTCCTCCTAACATGATGGCAGGAGGTCAGATTCCTGTGATATACGGACTTACGGGGATCTCAGTTTGAGCCTCTGATAACAGAACAGCCATAAAACAAAACAAACAAGTCTCCTTTTGATATTCATACAGTTTGATGTTTTCCCCAACAGAAGCATGCAGACACTCCAAGTCAGAACCACTCTTCACAAACCCAGTCTGAGCCAGAATATAGAGTCCATAACCCCCAGAATCACACTCCACTTTCCAAAAAAGCTTTCAACAAAAGTAGTAAATACCTAAAAAAGGACAGAAACACTTAACATGAGAAAAAAGAGTGATTGAACAGAACAAATGGGCAGGTGGCATCGGCAGTGAAGACATGCCTTGAGATCTATTCAACTAAACAGCTACTTGGTCAGTGACCGGACTGAGTCACATTGATGGGTAAAGAGTATAAATGCATGCAGGAGTAGCGCTCAGTACTGTTTCCCTCGAGAAAGCGTTCCCCCATTTCTTTGTGCCCTGTCTGGCCAGACTTTTGGAGAAAGCTGCCAGTAATGTAGAGTGTGTGAGCCAGATGGATGTAGACAGACAGTAATTGCGGTTAGAGGTAGATGTGACAGATAATGTGAGGTCAAAAATAATGGAGAAGACTGCCTTTTCGCCACTGCCATGTCTTTGATTGAGAATCCAGAGGATTGGATCCTTCCTGAAACTAACATCCAGAACCACTGATGTACACTCTTCCAAATGACCAGTGTCTGCTATAGCTGCACAAACAACAACTACATCTTAGGGGGTTTATTTTACGATATTCATGCAAACAGGCCCTTTCTTTAAATCACTGTGAGTCGAAGCAGCCTTGCATTCTGTTCTGCAACAAATATATAAAGGTGTGTATTTTGAGTCAGGATGTTTTGAATTTTTTTGGGACAAAGACTTACAGTATGTTTCTCCACACTGTTACAGTGACCTGCTCGCTGTGGATGTACTCTGGTGGACACTGCCTGATAACTACTCTGCATTCCTGGCCAGACTGGGCGGGCGGGCTCTGGGCGCTCCAAGGATACAATGTCACCATGACAATGGGAGGTTGTGCTCAGACGCGACTGGCTGGCCTGCAGCAGTAGGTGCAGCTTCTCAGGCTGTCCCGATCTGTGCTGCCCTCGTTGCTTCCACGACGGCCGTCCTCGTAGTGGGACACTGGATATTAGAGTAAAACAGGGAACATATGAAGTGAAGGGAAATTCTGGTATTTGGCAACTAGGGTCTTGTTCTCATAATTGTGGCCATTCTGACTATAGGTCACAATAACTGCACGCACCACGTCCAAGTGACTCCGACAAAACAAATACAGTATCAGGGCAAAGGAGTCCCCAAGCTTTTCAAAATAAACTTTATAATTAACTTTTAAATTAACTTAATTTCAAATGCTTGTCAAAGTCTGACCAAAAGTAAACATATTAGATACTGTTTCTAATTGGGGATAGGGACGATCTACTTCTGGGGCAACCAGCTGCCAAACCAAACAGCTGCCTGTTCATCTGCAAACACTGGTTTGTTTACAAGTGTGAGGCTGCGGGTTGATGCCAATTTAGTGTGTGTACATTCTAGAGAAGTAGTAGAAGATTTTGTCTTTTGAGGAAATTCAAGAGAACTAAGTGCAATTGCTGGTTGCACAGTGGACTACTATGAGGGCGATCCTGAGTGTCCACAAATGCAGTAACAAACAACAAATTCACAAAATCATTGTTGAGTTAGAAATTTATTTTTACCTCCCCAAAATCAGCTATATGCAAAGCCAGGGGTTCCCAAACTGTTCCACGCCAAGGTTCCCCAAATAGCATTAGCTTATAGCCTGTGCCACAAACCATCAAACCCTTTCAGGACATTTCTATAATATCTGTTAACCTCTGTTTAAGTAAAATATGAAGGGATCAATTATAATCATACAGCTAGCCTATTGTATTATGAAGGTACCAAAAATAGCTAATCCCGTGTGCTAATTTCTGTTTGCTTAAAATTATTTTTGTAAAAAAGTTAGAACTGCCACATTTATGAGAATAAGATCCAGGTTTAAAAACACTGGAATTTTCCTTTAACAAGTTAACTGGTTCAGGAGCAACATCATGCCTCAGCTACACCTCTAATCATCTGTCAAGCCTACTTACAGTATTCATAGTTGACACTCCCTCTACTGTTTGTCTCGGTTTCCTGAACTCCATTCCCTTGCCTTTGTCTACTCACCACCCTCCTTCACCACTTCCATCCAGTCCCATGCATACCTCCCCCATCCCTTCTCTACCTACTGTCTGAAGTTGGATGATAATGCCTGAGGCTGATCCTCCTCCTTTGCTGCCTCCTATACATTTGTCTTAGAACAACCTAACCAGGCGTCCTCCTCTTCCTAATGCAGCATTCACATCATATGGGATAGATGGTAGAGATGCGAAGATTCCCATTACTTGTGAGCATTTACGTCAACGGACAAAACATGACTGTTGGATGATTGCAAATTTGGCCGCACTATTTTCATTCAATTTGTATTTAAGTATGTTGAACTACAGACTTTGGCATAATTCTTGTCAGTGAAGAGAAGCTCTGGAAGAAAGTGTCTGTTCATTCAACTGATAACTTACGGCTCTCCTCCTCCCCATTGCCCAAATCATCATCCTCCTCCTCCTCTTCCTCTGGGAGCAGATGTCCATGGCAGGGACTGGTGGGAGTAATCTGACTGGGTCCCTCGAGACTAGTGCCCAGCTGCAACTTCCGCATGTGGCGCACTACCGCTGTGGCATTAAATGCTTGCTACGTGGACAGAAAGAGAGAGAGAGGAAGGAATAACCCTCTGCGTCTGACAGCTACTGAGGGAGAAAAACAGCAAAGGCGTACAAAATGTGCTCTATCTCCTGCCAATCTTAATACTGCTCTTTCAGCAGGTTGTTCCATGATTCAGCCAAGACACTGACCTTCCATTTACTTTTGGCAAAGTTCTTCTTGATTTGAGCGCTGACAGATTCATGGATATTCTTGTCCAGAGCTGTGTCTCCACAGATCCTGCAAAGTCAACAAGAATGAGAGAACTTGGGCAGCTGAGACACCTGACTGGGGTTTATGCAATGTATATTTGTTGATCAGAAGGTCAATATATTTTCAAGTCATTTTTCAAGGAAAAATGTCAAACATTATTCAGAATTGTTGGTGGTTAATTTCAGTTCAGTGAAATTGAAATAAAAAGAGATGAGAATCAGAAAATGTTACTCTCTTACCATGGATGCTGGAGGGCCTGCTCACATGTGTACCTCTTCAAAGGCTCTTTCTCCATCAAGTGACAGATAAAGTCTTTGGCTGCAAACAAAAATTAAGTTCATGTTGTAATAGTCCACTCTGATTTTCTGCTGGATCTGCTGTGGCTATTTTTAGTAATTAGTAGTACCTGAGTCTGAGATGTCATCCCAGTATGGAGAGTCAAATTCATACTCTGCTTTCAGAATCTGCTCAAACAACTTGGCATCATTTTCATCGTAAAACGGAGGATATCCACATAACCTGAGGGAACGATATTGGATCATATTCAGTACTACAAAACAATCACTTTATATACTTCTCAGTGATGAATGAGCTCAGACTTACAGAATATAAGAAATAACTCCTATGGACCAGCAGTCCACTGCTTTGCTGTA